CCCCAAAACCCCAAAACCCCAAAACCCCATCAAATAAAATTAAATACTAATTTGAAAGAATAAATTCGTTAATAAATCAAATATGAAAATTTCAACCTCAGAGTAAACTATCAAAAACTCCAAGAATACCCCTGCATCAACAGTGCCTATTTAAGCTGCTTTTAAATTATTTTGTCTCAACAATTAAAACACTATCACTAAAAATGCTACTTAGTCTAATCTGCAGACCCTTAATTCTTAAAAGTCATTGTATCCCCCAAAGCAAGAAAAGTAGCAATAGCTAAATACAGTGCATTCTGTGGCAACCATAGATGGTAATGGGAAAAGCAGTAATTTGCATAAGGTCTTTTCAATTGAGAATTTCTATCAGATGCCATCAAATCTTTGTGACACTCAAAAATCATCAAACTATAACAATCCTCTCATGACTCCAAGTACTTAACTGCCCAGATGCATCTCATCAGATCGTGGCTTACTTTTGCAAACTACACCTTCTGTTTCAATGGGAGGTGCTGGCGGTAACTGCATTAACCTAAACTTCAATAATAAAAACTTGAATAACCTCAAGTTTTCTCATCTCCATTTGCAATCCAATCAGTCTCAGCCACATTTAATAGACTAACCTCTTGATAAAAAGTCAAATCCATTGTTCTAGACATTCCAGCAGAATAATATTGAAAGTTTGATGTAGAACTAAAAAATTCATAGCTCAAACTAGCCCAATTTGCTAATTAACACTGGTGCTAACGATCAGTAGCAATTGTAAAATCAAATGAATGTACCTCTGTTAATGCAAAATATTCAGGCTGTGCAGATTCCATAGATTCAACCCTAATCAGCTAAGAATATTAGTGTTAAAAGTTTATTTAATGGAGATGTAAGAGGAGAAAATGACATCTACTTAAATGTAATTCTTGTCGATACTTTCAAAAGTGTTTACAGATAATTAGATCCACTTAAGAAGGGATACATAAAGCTTAAGGACTTGGTAAGCATAAATAATTGGAAGTTAATTAATCATTATTTTAGAGTGAGGCTGTTAAAGGTGTTGAAGGAGATGGAAAGAGAAATGCCCTTATCAAGTTCTTTGTTTCATTTGTGAACCAAACTAATAAGTAATACATTTCTAAGGTATCCTTTTTGACTAATTCTGTGAGTGCTTGTTTACATAACAAATACGACCTAAATTTGTTTGTTTAGTAAGATAAGTATGAGGTAACATATTATGATAGAAATATCCAGATAAAATAAAGCTAAAGCACAACAAGTGGAGGGAGTAGAACGGAAAAATATCCCAGTTCGAGTCAGTCATCACATCAAGCGTCTACTTCATCAAATAATAATCAGTAAAGTAATAACAACAACAATAATACTAACCATATAAGCATTAACTAGCAGCCCACTAAATAGCTAAACATAAAGCAATATAAGCCTGAGCCTAAACAATAGTAATAGTAGATAAATGTAAATTAGCTTTTCCAATAATAGCAGTAAACCTATCAAAATCTTCAATCGTAGCAACAAGAAAACGAGAATATTCTTAACTAGTAGCCACAGTAACAGCAGCAGCAGTAATAGCAGCAGCAGCTATAGTAATAATAGAACCAAATTAATTATCAGTAATCCTTGCTAGAGAAGTTAGTGGCGAATTAGCATCATCCTGAATAACTGTCTTAATAACTTAGTGATCAATAGCTTAAAGAGCTCAAATATCAATTGGAACTATGGCATCAGTAATATGAAGCTTAATAATAATTACAATCCTCCCTAGACCAGTAAGATTCATACAACTTCCGCTAGAATAATACAGGCAATGCTAATGTTAGCCAAAACTAATAAAACAATCATGCTCTAAGGGATAACTAAAAGAGTCTCTAGGATGATATAAATATGCTATACTATAAATACTTTAGTGGTTAAGTATCAAAATCTAATCAACTCTCTAAGCAAAATGAGCTGTACATTCAACATCTGCTTGCATAATCTCAGGCTTATTAATAATAGAAAAAGATAATCTCCTCAATCATCTCCCCAAGCAATCAAAGCAACAAAGAAAACATAACAGCTGGTATGACATCCCAAATTTTCCCAAATTAAAAGTCTTCACATGTGAATCTGCTTGGCAAAGATGGCAATAGTGTATCTAGAAATGAGAAGAGCAATGGCAGGAATAACAACTCTCATAACAATTTTGTAAATAACAAAAATTTTACCTCAACTAACTCAAATTTTTCAATCGCTGCAAAACAACTTAAGAATAAGTAAGGGAATCTTTAAAATCATCCCTTAAGGAGCTCTTAGAGCAGGAGTTTAAAGCAAAGTCAACTAAACTCTACCTCAGAGCTAGCTCCTCATTCAACATTTGATAGTCTCAAAGGAGTAGTAAACAGAGGGAGAAAATGAATCAATATTGTATAGTCGAAATTACAGAATGCAAACACTGATTGCAGAATAATTAATGAAAATTTTAGTTAATTTAGTTAAATATTAATTAATAAATTAATCAAACTTCCTATTTCTATAGAAAAGTGTTACTTGAATCTGAAGTTCATTATATAAGAGGACTTACTATTTGATGTTTATTAAGAGGTGTAGTTTCTGATATATCCTCCTCTTGAATTATATCGAAGTCTTTTCCGCTATATCCAGATACTCTTCTCATTTCAGAGTATTTCTTTATAAGCTCTCTGCCTCCGCTAGGTCTTCTCTTAGATTGCTTAATTGACTCCTTTCTCTTCTCCTCAATAGATTCCTCGAGGATTTCTTAAGCCTCTTCTTTGAACTAGTTAACATTGACTTTCACAGAAGGGTATTGAGGTCCTTTTGTGCCGCCTAAATTTTAAGTAACAAGGACTGGCAATTGATTTTTCTTTGACTCATTAACACTCGACTGTCTTTGATACTAAGAACTGTTGATTCTACTCTCGGATTTAAAAAGTTCATCTTAGCCTTGCAACTAGTCTCCGTACTAAGAATCTATTCTTTTAAATCTATGTTATTAGGTAGGTGGTTGTTATTCGACATCAGAACCTTTAAATCTATTGAAATGCTTGGTTGGCATATTATTGCTTTGAACTGCTGAATATATAGGGTTATTGATCTCTCTCACAGCCATATAGTACTAAGTGTAAAGCTCAGCGGAGACAAATAGATTGTAGTCACAGAGTGAAACGAACTAACTTTCCATTCTATTAATTGACTTCAGATGATAGAGTCCAATAGCTTCGACATAATCCACGTTCCAAAAACTAATTAAAAGATCAGATGCAATAAATATTCGCTTACTTGATGTCTTCCCAAAACTTTGAGGAAATTAAGATTGCAGCAAATAGTAATGGTTTCCAATTACAGTATCTAATCTCTATGCCTCCATTGATCATGACTTTCTCGAGATAAATCAATGAGATAATAATGCATTCTGAAGCTAGTTGCATCTTTTCGAATATTTTCCTCATAAACAGGATCAGGTCTCCTTCTGCAGCAGGCTTCTCGATATATTCTATCTCTTCCAAAGAATACAAAAACAGAGGCATAGTACTACTGTAGCCACTGGTTGTCTGGATTATCCATTCATGCCTGGTGAAATTGTTCTCGTGAAACAACATAGCTGCCTCAGTGGGGTTCTCAATGAACTTCTGAGCTGCCTCTATGTGCTTGAATATGATCTGACACACATTGGTCATCATCTGTTCTCTTGTTATCTTGAGGAAGTTATCTTTATCTAGTTTCTGCTTACGCTCTTTCGCCTTCTGCTGCAGTTCATATTTTCTTATGTTCAGATCCTCTTGCTTAAGTTTGTTTTCAGTTCTCTTGGTCAGCCTACCGTTTTTTCTTTTCTTAGATGAACCGAAGATCTCCTTCCTGCTCATGAGCCTTTGAGTGATTGGCACCTTTTTAGTATTTTTCTTTTACTCAGCTAGATACTTTTTGAATTCTGATGCATCCAAATTGTCCCTGAATGATTCAGTGCGCTGCTAATCTAGATCTTTAACTTGGAAGGAGGTAATTTTGTTGACGTCTGAGGAGTAGATCTTCTTGTACTTACTTCTATCGTCTATTTCTTTGGTCTCCTCTTCTACTATGCTTGAACTTTTGAGATACTAGAGAAGTTCATTTTTACGTCTGAGATTATTAACTTGCCTTGGACTACTCAACTGATTTGACATCACTATACCACCATCATTTAAAACAATTCATTATAAAGAGAACTTACCATCATATTCAGTACGAGCTCCGCTCTTCCGTTTTTTTCTCAAGGAAGTCAAGTCTTCAGCTCCATCTTGATAGGTATTGATGTTCAATTCCATAGTTTCAGCGCCTTGATCCCCTGCCTCATCATCTTCATTTATTGTGTACTCCTCATCCTCTCCCTGTCTTACCGAACCCTGCAGCAGTCTCTCCTTCTAACTTTCTCTAATCTCTTCCTTGCTATCTCCATCCTCGTCGAATATATTGGATAGATAGTTCTTGATCATGTTGTTGCCCTCAGTGGTGACCTTGAACCCAGACTGCTTCATCTAGAGTTAAGACCGCATCATGCTGCTATTAGGATTAAGTAGACTCATAGTGTTCATATTATTCTACGAATTCAGCACTGAACCTTGCATGATTGTCTGGTGATATTTGTCGATATTCTCCTGATTGTTCTTGTCCCACTCTCTAACTAATGAAGGCAGCCTGTTAAAAGGCACATCAGCCCGCTACTTCGAATTGGCTATAATATATTTTAGTTAACCTGAGCTCAAATATTGAAGACTTACATTCACCCATTACAAAAAAATATAATTATTAGAATATTACTATGTATATCTCCGTAATTATTATAGTTTCTCAAATGAATAAGAGATTACTTAATGTGGGGTTTTGGGGTTTTGGGGTTTTGGGG